AATAGCAGAGCCAAAATTTGAACATGAGTACATCTTAATCCAAAACCTTTGCTTTTTGACATGGATCCTGGCAAGTGAACCAGGGGTTATCAGCGGGGGTAAAGCAGAGCTCTAGGAGGACAAATGTGCAGAGGAGAACCCAGTTATTAAGCCCTGGTTACCACACAACTCAAGATAGTTTATATGTGTGAAAAGTAAAGTGCTTAGAGGTAAAATCAAATCGGAATCTCAATTTGCAAAAACACAGAAAGGTTAAGCAACTCATCCAAAGCCAGAAAGTTATTCAATAGCTTACTAGAGGATTTAAATCCATTTCTCTGAATCCAGTCAAACGTGATGCTTTTCAATATGATACATGGCCTCCTTATTTTCATACATTTATTTTATTTTATTTTAAAGAGAACAAAAGTAATTTTAAAAAACATTGCAAGCAATACAGAATTTCGAAAAAGAAGATATAAATTCAACTGTCTCAGTTCTTCTTCTCATGTTGCTGGGACAAATACCCAACACTTAAAATTAGGGATGGAAAGGTTTATTTGTCACACAGTTACTGGAGTTTTCAGTACACACTCAGCTGGCTCCAAGGCAGAGTGGCACATAACAGAGGGCAACCTTTCATGGCGGCCACAAAGAATAGAGAGCAAAAGGAAGGAGGAGCAGCAACAATGGCTACAGAGAGCAAGTCTGTCTCCCTTAAGATGCATTCAGGCTATCTGCCCCCCACTGGGAGTAGTACTCACACACACAATCCCAACAGCACTCATGCCCATAATCCCAGTGGATCATGAGTTAATCACAAATCTAGAAGTCTATCCCATGATTGCATGAGGCTTTGGGGGGACAGCTATATCCAAACCATAACATCAACAATAGTTGTCATATTGTATATTGTTGTCTTCAAAGTAGTTGTTCAAATTACCAAATATAGGCGTTTCATACATTTTATTAAAGTCAGAATCTTGCTATGTTTCTCAGGTTGGTCCTAAATTTGTGGGTTTATGTGATTTTCCTGCCTTAGCATCCTGGATAGCTGAGACCACAGATCTGTACCACCACATTTCCTGGTACAATATTATTTTCCAGGTAAAACAAGTTATGGCAGACTCTTATAAATTACATTCTACAGAATCTTGTATATCTGAAGTTGTTGGGTGGCAAATAAAAATAGGTACATAAAAAGTATTTTACATGAAATTAAATTGATTTCTAAAACCTAAGGCTTCTTTCAGAATTTAGCCTGCTAAGGTTTATCGTAGATATCTAAGAAAATGACATGATAAACAGATTGTCTTCAGCTTGACCATGGGAATTTTTTTTTTTTTTAACTTTGCCTGAGTATTCACAGATAAAGTTTAGGGAACACTTGGCCAATGTGTTACTCATAGGCAAACCTTTATCTCTTTGCCCTTCCTCTAGACAGAGGCTGGGGGTTTTCTTAAAGCACCAGCAGTCATAGTGTTTGCTGCCTGACACCTGTCCAACTTTCACACCTACTGCTTCTCTCCACGCTGCAGGTCTCCAGTCCAGCTTTCTCACGTCTCTAGGACACAGGGACACAAGCACTTACCTACCATGGAGATTTTACTGTAGCTGTTTCCTCTTTCTGCAAAGGTTTCTCCTTGTCATTTAGCTTATTCCTTTTGGTCTCTGCTTAAATGTCCATGTTCAGAGGCTCTTATTTGACCTTCTTAATAGCTCTTTATCTTCTATAACCAGGTTTTTTTGCTTTATAGAACTTATTACTGCCTAACAACTTGCATATTTCTGTCACTCCTTTCTATCTTCTCATCTTCCAGAATGAAAGTTTCATGAGAGCAGCAGCCTTGATTGTCACGTTACTATGGCCATGAACATTGCTGGCCCTTGATAAATATTGGTTGGCAAATGTTTTACATACATACGTGATACAATAAGATATCACACTGCACCTGCCTAGGAGCTTAGGGACATGGCACAATTCCAGTGACACTCAGCTCACGTAGTCTCTCCTGCCATTGTAATTTCCCTTTCTATTATTTGTTATTTGCACATCTTTAACAAAACCGCAGGAAGCAGAAAGGAGTTTATATCCTGCAGAGTGAACATCCTTCTTGCCACCTGCTCTGCTTGTTCTTTCTCCTGAAGCTGGCTTCCTGGCGCTAAGTAACAGATAAGGCAGGCACGCCTAGGCATTTTGAAGGTCCCTCACACCTGGTTGTTTGAGCAGACACTTACCAGCCACCAGGGATTTAAGGAACGAGGTTCTTTTATATGGGAAGTGTGAGACTTGAAGGAATTATGAGACAGTAGAAATTCAGGTCACAAAAAAATGATCTCCAAGCATGTCCAATACAATCCTCCCTTGACTGCCACCTTTTTTTACTTAGGATGTGTATAGAATTTTCAGAAAAATCTAAATTTATTAATTGACTACCATTAGTGAATACTTCCCTTACCAAAAGATTGCTGAGATTCCTTTTAACCAGTAAGGTTTCCTCAGGCATATAGGACAGAAACTGAGCGGTAGAAATCCAGTTTTGTTGTTGTTATTGTTTGGATATGCAGGGGGTTGTTATTGTTTGCTGTTTCAAATGGAGGCACCTGCTGGATATATCAAGAGTAGGAAAACTTGGATTCAAGAACGTGAGTGAGTTGAGTTCTGATTCCAGGTTTCCCACCCTTAGCCACATGGCCTTGGGCGAGCCCTGTATGATCTCTTTGGTTATCACCATCTAGCCTCAGAGCTGTTGTGAACCCTGGGTGAGGTGTCCTGTCTTCATGTCCAGCATAAAGCAAGCCCACAGCAGAGTAGCCTTTGGTCTAGAGGAGGTGTGTGTTGCATAAAGGAAGTGTACGGATTTTTGAGTCCACGTTCTGACTCTTCATTACCTCTGAGTTTGTATATCAGGGAGGTTTGTAATATCAGCCCGGCTTACCTCCTGCTCTAGGGTGGCTGCCAGAGGCTGCCCTAGGGTCTGGAAAGCAATTGAAACCGCTGTCTCTTACAGCATTCTCTACGCCTGCAGATTCCAAGGTTTTACTTCCTGCTTCTGTTTGCTGTTGGAATATTATTTTGGTTTCTAAATTTAGAGATTCTAATTGGATTTGCTTCTTTTTCATAGCAAGGAGAAAATGTTGAGAGTGAGGCGAAGGACAGGGACAGCAAGGGGCCCCTTCCGTGCTCAGCTGGCTGGCTCTCCTCTCCTACTTTGCTGTGACACTGGTTGCTTTCCCTGTTTGCAAGTGGGCTCCTTGGTGCTCATCTTGCCACCTTTCTATCATTTTCTTCTTTCAGCAGGAAAAATATAAGAACCACCCAGACTTCATTTTCCATATAGTTTAATTGAATTGATGCCGGCTGTCACAAAAAAAAAAAAAAAAAACTTAATAAAATAAGAAATCTGCAAATCCTAGGATTAAGCTATCTCTGAAGTTTAAAAAATTTTTCAAGGCATTTACTTGCAAGTTGAACACCATTTGCATATTTCATAAACATAATACAAATGTATTATTTATCAGGTGGTCCAGGCATGCCTGTAAAAAAGAATGATTGTAAATTCAACCTTCATCTAAAAATCCTCATAAATCTGTACCTTCAACTTTCAGGGAAGCTAGATTTCTTTGCCTTGGTTTTCCTAGTCTTATCAAAATACTCTAGGCTCCTTGCTGAGTGCCATTTCTGAGGATCACAGGTCTCTGTATTTGAAAAGAATAGCTTTAGTATATAAAATCACACAATGCAGAATCGTTCTCAGCATCAAAATTGCCTGATCTCATTGGCCACATCCTATTTGTCCATTGCAGTGACATCATCTCAAAACAAAAGCATTCTTGCAAGCCTTGGGTTGGAAGTATGACATCACTCTTAGGCGATTTCATTGTCAGTGACTCAGGCCTAGGCTGTTAATGCCCTGTGGCTTATCTAACTGTTATCTCCGAGCAGGAGAAGAAATCTAATTTGAGCTCTGCTGCGGATTCCTTTTGGTTTCAGATGCCCTGAGAGAGAGTGAATACCATGCTTCTAGATCTAAGGCATTTGATGAGGGAATACTCCGCATAGGAGAAAATGACATTAAATAAGCAGATTACCCTTTCCCTTTTTGCCACTTATGCTTTGTGTAAGTAAAACAATGCAATAAGCACGATATCTAGTTTTTAATATGATTGCCCCTCTCAGTTGAATGTAATGGCAGGCACAAAAGTACTGAAAATGGAGGTCCATTTGCTTCAGCATCTATACAGTCTCTAGTAAGCTGTTTTGCTTCCAGATGCTGGAAGACACTTTTGTCCTTGAAGAGCCACCTGAGTCTTCTGTATTACAGGGTGTGGGACAAAAAGCAAGCCCTCTGTTCTACCCCCTTGTGCTTACTTATCCTGTTGTGTGTCTGAGCAATCATTTTTATCTTGTGGGAACAGTGTCTACCGTGGGATTAAAGGACACCTCCTCTTTCTGTTGTAATTTGAGGAAACAGTAGCCTATTGATCTTTTCACAGGTCCCAGGAGGTGTTCCAGGCTCAAAAGGCAAAAGGATAAATAAGACACAGGACATCTGCTCAAAGAACTCAGTGTCTATAAGAAGACATATAAATACATTTTACATAAATTATAACAGTACTGTATTTGTTCTGATATTTGACATTTTGGTTGAAAGTACTGTGCCAGAGACTAAGCAAAATGGATTATCATTAGCTGACATACTTCTTAAAAACCTAAAAATGAGGCCGTAGAGATAGTTCAGCAGTGTAAGTGCCTGCCTGGCATGAGCAAGGAGCCGAGTTTGATCCCAGATACCACATGCTCTGCTGGCCCCATTTCTGCCCCGAAACCAAGAGTGGTAGCACATGCCTATAATCCCAGCGCTGGGGAGGTGGAGACAGGAGGATCACTACAAGTCTGAGCTGTGTATCAAGACCCTGTACCAAATCAATCAATCAATCAATCCTAAAAATGATTATTTTCCTTTTTTTTCCTTGGGCCAGGGAAACAGCTCAAGGGCATTAGTGTCTGACTTGCATGTGCAAGTTCCCAAATTCAACCCCTGCTACCACAAAGGAGAGAGGGAGAGAGAGGGAGAGAGAAGGAGAGAGAG